CACAGGGCAGCAAGGACAAAGGAGGAACGAGATGCAATGTTTCATCTGAAGTCCAGGGAGGGCTGTATCTGTCCCAGCAAACTGGAAGGATGCAGTGGTCCCCAAGCCCCTGGCTAAGCAGATGGAGGGTTTAATATCATCTAGATTGTCCCCATAATGGTTTTACAGAAAATTGGTTGATAGGATTAGAGTAGCAGGGCGCCCTAAAGAGCAGTGGCTGCTTAACAAAACACTGGAGCAGATACAGTTTGCCTTTGCCACCATCCGCCACAGCAGCATCTGGGCTCTGATAGGGACCCCTTGGATGCCAAGGTCAACTCAGAATGGTACCCCAGTGGGGCTCTCCTTCCTCAACATCCTTCTAGGTCCCAGAATACAGAGTAGACTACAAGGGGTTCAGAGCACGGGTTTTTGGGTAAGACAGATGTCGACCCAAATTTACTGTCAGGTAAATGTGTAGGCAAGTCGTTATCCTCCTTGTGTCTCAGAGGATAATGGGACCTACTTTCATGAGGCTGATGTGAGGACTCAATGAATCAAACACAGAAAGGACAGTGGCTGGCACACAGTGAGAGCCCAATACATGATCACCCAGGAGACAGATGAATAAAGACAGTTACCCTGGCTGGCTCATGGCTGTAATCCCAGCACTTTGGGAGGCCAAGGCAGGCAGATCACGTCAGGCCAGGAGTTCAAAGACCAGCCCGGCCAACACGGCAAAACTCCGTCTCTACTAAAAATACAAAAAGTAGCCTGGTGTGGTGGTGCGTGCCCACAGTCCCAGCCACTCAGGAGGCTGAGGCAGGAGAATTGCTCAAACTGAGGAGGTGGAGGCTGCAGTAAGCCAAGATGGCACTACTGCCCTCAAGCCTGTGGGACAGAGTGAGATCTTGTCCCAAAAGCCAGGATCCCTGGACCCCATCCCAGAAGACCCTGGGAACAAGACATGCACTTGTAGCCTCCTACCCCTAGCATTGAACAAGAGCATTTTAGCAGTTGCTCCAGCCACCTCCTAATTTCCAGATTTCCCAGTCAGTCTGTGAAATGGGTTGTGTGAGTCATGTTTTCAAGGTTTGTTTTGTTTTGAGACAAGGTCTTGCTCTGTCACCCAGGCTGGAGGGCAGTGGCCTGATCACAGCTCACTGCAGCCTCGAACTCCTGCCTCAGCTGGAACTACGGGTACACACCAACATGCCTGGCTAGTTTTAAAATTATTTGTAGAGATGGGGGGTCTCAGTATGTTGCCCAGGCTGGCGGCAAACCCCAGTAAATTCTGAAGCTTTTGCCAGAGCTAAAAATACTTTTGTGTGTGAGCCAAAAGGTCAAACTGGGAGTGGGACCCCTCCGATGGGAAGGAGGGGAGGAGCCCTAGATGGGTTTCCCAAGCCCAACTGGCTCCCCCATTTATCAGATCATGCAATCTGGTCAGAATCTAGTCTGTGTGAAGTCCCAGAACGACTGACAGGGATGACAACAGCGACCACCCCATTGATCCGGGGATATCTGACTCGGCGAAGGGCACAGGCTGGGGTCAGACAGGCATGGATTGGGCTCTATTGTGCACCTGGGTGAGTTGTGGTGTCGCCGCTGGTGATATTCACCTCTCAGAGCCTCACCGGCTGTCACCTGTGAGACGGGGTCGATAAAGGCTCTGCGGCCGGGCTCAGAAGAGAACCGGAGAGAACCGAGGAGGGGCTGGAGAGTGAGCCCCCGCCGCTGGCCCTGCGCGGCCGGCATTCCCCGGGCAGGCACGGCCGGGGCGCACCCCCGTCGCCGCCCAGCGGATCATCGGTACAGGGGTGGGTGGGGGGAGGAGGCCAACGCTCCACGGCTCCACAGGCGGATTCCCCCGCGGCCTCCCGCGCCCCGCAGCGGGAACCCGGGTGATTGCAAACAGCCGCCGGCCTCCTTAGGAGAAGTGTAATTAGCGGCTGGCGCAGCCCAAGCCCGCGCAGGCTGATTACCGAGGGGAGCCCGCCGCGCCGCCAACGCGCCAGCCCGCCCGGCCACTGCCGGCGCCTGCACCCTCCGAGCCCAGAAGGGGCTGGGCCTGGTCCGAGACTGGGAGGCCGCGGGCAGCGCCAAAGTGCTTCCTCCCGGGGCTGTGCCTGTGGGAGAGAAGTGGGTTTACTGGCCGAGCACGGTGGCTCACGCTTGTAATCCTAGCGCTTTGGGAGACCAAAGCGGTGGATCACCTGAGGTCCAGGAGTTCGGGACCAGCCTGGCCAACATGGTGAAGCTCCGTCTCTACCAAAAATACAAAAATTAGCCGGGCATGGTGGCACATGCCTGTAATCCCAGCTACTTGAGAGACTGAGGCAGGTGAATCTCTTGAACCCAGAGGCGCAGGTTGCGGTGAGCCTAGATCGCGCCATTACACTCCTGCCTGGGTGTCAGAGACTCAGCCTCAAAAAACAAAAAGTGAGGGGGCTTACTATGCACTCGCTGTGCCAGGCATCTTGTCCACATGACCCCGCTTAAATTTCATATCCACACAGGAGGGAGGAACCATTGTTATCCCATTGGACAGATGAGGAAACAGATCTGAGACATGAATTAACCCTCCTGACACACGTGGCTGGGCCGGTAAGTGACGGAGTGGGGAATCAAACCTCCATCTGTTACCTCTCCATCTTATTACACTAAGTGGACGAGTGAAACCCTGCACAGGAGGGCACCAGCTGTGTCGACAGGAACAAGGTCTCTGGAGTCAGCTGGCTTTGGGGTTCGAATTCTGATCCTGCTTCTTACTGGATACGAGGCTTTGGTTTGAGCCGCAACTGCATTTATAAAATGAGCGAGGCACTGCAGTTGAGATGAAGGCTAGGGAAGTGTTAGGGGTAAAGCGCTCCGAGGGGTTGGGGATGGCCTGCTCTCTACGCGCACTGCGGGCCTCTGGCACCCCCTGTTGGCCAAAGGAGGACGCCGCAAACACTGTTTCTGGAGAAAGGTTGCTCTTGGGTGGGGAGTGCTGTCATTGTCACTGGTCCCTCGGCAGATCCACGGGACCCCCTCCCCCTATTCTTCCCTTCCCTACATTCCCCAACAATCCTCCTTTAATGTGGCCAAGAAGAGTGGGAGATGGGAAAATTCGGAACTCATTCGAGATCTTGCAAAAATCAATTGTGAAAGCTGCCTCCATTACGGACCTCACAGGACCAGCAAGGCCACGACAGTTCTACAAATAATCACGGATGGGCATAAACAAAGACTAAGCTACAAAGCCATACATCAAAGTTTTGGGTATAACAAGGAAACCTGGAAGTAATGTGAACCTCCACCAAGGGGATACTGACCAACTGAACAGTGGTATGTCCAAGCAATGCAATACTGCACAGCTGAAAAAACAGTATTGCCGCTGAACAGTTGACACGAAAATATACCCAAACAACAGGAATCAATCTTACAATAATATTTAGCAAAAGAAGCCAGACACAAAAGAAAACATGCTGGAGGATATTTATATAAAGTGTAAGAACAGGCAAAACTAATCTACCAGGGTAGAAGTGGCCAATAGTGGCTAACAGCAGTAAGGGATTTGACTGGAAGAGGGCTCGGGGAGCCTTCAGAGATACTGGAAATGCTCTTTATTTTAATCGTGGAGGTGGTTACGCAAGTCTATCCATATGTAAAAATTCATTGAGATGTACACTTAAGAATATGAACTTTAGGCCAGGCTTGGTGGCTCACACCTGTAATCCCAGCACTTTGGGAGGTGGAGGCAGGCGGATCATGAGGTCAGGAGTTCGAGACCAGCCTGGCCAACATGGTGAAACTCCGTCTCCACTAAAAATACAAAATATTAGCCAGGCATGGTGACACACACCTGTAATCCCAGCTATTCAGGAGGCTGAGACTGGAGAATCGCTTGAACTCAGGAGATGGAGGTTGCAGTGAGCTGAGATCTCGCCATTGGACTCCCACCTGGGTGACAGAGCAGGACTCCTTCTCAAGAGAGAGAGAGAGAAAAAAAAGAATATATACTTTATGTAATACCCCAATAAGACATTAAAAAAAAACTTGAAAATAAAATAAAAGAAAAAACATAATTTAACAGAGGGCATAGTTCTCAAACTATTTTCTCTGTCTCACGACCCCTTTACACGCGTTACTGAGGATCCCAAAGAGCTTTTATTTTTGTGGGTCGTATTTACTAAAGCTGAGAAATGTTTAGAAAACAATACACAATTCCATTAGCTGTTAGAGCAATGATGTCATCACGTCAAGCAGCCTCTGGAAAACTTGACTGTTCACTCTGAGAGAGTGAAAAAGGCAAGTAACATCTTAGTATTATTATGAAAGTAATTCTGACTTCGGGGACTCCTAAACTGAGTAAGTTTAGGAAATCTCAGTGGTCCCCAGTCTACACTTTAAGAACCACTGGCCCAGGGAGAAAATGATAGAAGAAAACACGTGACACGACAACAGTTATTCTCTCTCAGTGCTGGGATTATAATTTATTTGCTTCTTGGTGCTTTTCTGTTAAAAAAAAAAAAAAGAAAGAAAGAAAGAAAAAAGAAGTGGAAAATATAATGACCACGTATTGTTTCTGTAAACAAAAAACGAGGCAGCACACTCGCCTCCCTAAGATTGTTGAAAGGCGCAAACAGCAATAGCATATTTAGCTGTATGGAAGAATTAAACTGAGTTCTAACCTGAAAATAAGGGTCCGATTTCCCGTTTGTCAATCCCTGGGCTGTTGAGGTGCAGGGTCTTGCCCTCAAAAACTCCACCGTTCACCTTGGGGAGAAAATATACCCGCATACATAACTATGCTGCAAGGTTTCCAGGGCCCCAAGAAAAGCGGCTGCATCCTATATTTACAATACAATACACAGCACTGTAAACACCGGAGTGCAGCAGAACCAACCATCACAGTTGCAACACGATTAATACCCGGATCCGGTTCAGCCCTCAAATTAGTCCGGGTCCTCCGCAGGACGCATGCGCGCTTAGAGATGGGGCGGGCCTTGAGGGAGACTGACACAGAGCTCGGCTTCTCAACTTTCTAGCTCCGCCCTCATGTCCTGCCTCCTTCTCTGAATGGCTGAAAGGCTGAGGAAGCAAGCTTCCCATTGGCAGCGGGCGGAACCCACATCCGTTTTGCACATCGAGCCGGAGGGCGCGGAGGCAGCCATGGTGCGGTTCAAGCACAGGTAAGCAGTTCCTTCCAGACTCATCCAGTGTCTTGCCGGGACCTCGCGGCCCCGCTAGCGCCCATCTTCCTCTCGCCGGCCGCAGGTATCTGCTCTGCGAATTGGTGTCGGACGACCCCCGCTGCCGCCTGAGCCTCGATGACCGAGTTCTGAGCAGTCTCGTACGGGACACGATCGCCCGGGTGCACGGGACTTTCGGCGCAGCCGCCTGCTCCATCGGCTTCGCGGGTGCGAGGGCGCTGGGGGAACCCGGGAGGATGGCGGGACGTGGAAGGGGCAGGCGCCGGAGGAAGAAAGAAGGGGCACGAGCCACTGCTGGAGTGGCCCAGCCCCCGGGCAACTGCTTTTTGTAAGGTATCTCTTTAAGCGCCTGGCACTCAGAGCTAGACTTGATCCAGACAAGTCCGAAATTAGCAGAGAGCTAACAGGAGGGGTCCGAAGGCAGTAGACTTCGATCTAAATGCCTCTTTTTACCTGTTTGACATCTGTAATTCGTTGTGACTTAATTTGATAGGATAGAGAATTAAATGAGGGAAGCAGTGAATCGTTCCTAGTAAGAGCTGTGTGACTGATTACATTAAAAATCACATGGGGAAAAAAATTGTCAAAACCCTGGGAAAGCCCTTTAATAGTTGGCAGAGTGCAGAACACATGATTGTTTATATATGTAAATATAGGATGAGCTGCGACAAAGAGGGTCCCTTCCACACCACTTATATTAGTTCCCTCTTTTACCTTGAAGATAGGCTTAACTCTCCTAAATCAGGTTAGACTAAGCTGACTGCTACAAGAATTAGAGCCCAATTGCAGCAAAACAGCTTGTTTTTCAGGCAAGAGTTTTGTAGGTTTTTTTCCTAAATTAAAATGGATCGCCTCCTACCTGCTCCTATTTATTGAATTAACTAGTTAGTGAATTAGAAAGCATTTTAAATTCTAAATTCATTCACCAGTTCTGAGTGGTATGCAACACAGTGGGTGTTTTGGCTTTTCTCCTGTTTTTTACTGCTGATATAGCCTACGTGCCACTTGCCTGCAACATACATTGAGCACATAGTAGGCTCTGTTACTCCAAGGTTTTTAATACGCTCCTGCAACTCCAAAGTTTTCCTTTTTTTTTTTTTTTTGGATTCAGTCTCGTTTCACCCAGGCTGGAGTGCAGCGGTGAGATCACAGCTCAGCGCTGCCTCCACCTCCCCAGTTCAAGCAATTCTCGTACCTCAGCCTCCCAAGCAGGGAATTACAGGCGTGCACCCCACCATGTCTGGCTAATTTTTGTATTTAATAGAGACAGGGCTTCATCATGTTGGCCTGGCTGGTCCCGAACTCCTGACTTTAAGTGATCCTCCTTCCTTAGCCTCCCAAAGTGCTGGGATTATAGGCATGACATGAGCCACCATACCTGGCAAAAGTTTTCCAAAACGATTTTTTTTTTTGTTCTAGTTCGATACCTCAATGCCTATACTGGAATAGTGCTACTTCGATGCAGAAAAGAATTCTATCAGCTTGTGTGGTCAGCTCTTCCCTTCATCACGTACTTGGAAAACAAAGGACATCGTTACCCATGCTTTTTCAACACGTTACATGTGGGAGGTAGGAGTGGAATGTTACCACATGGCTACTGATTTTCAATAGGTGACACGTTCAGAGTTGAGTCTAGACTGTTGGGTGGGTCTTCTTGCTGTCCCGCTAACAAGACACTCTTCCCCTACCTCGTTATAAAGTCGAGACCTTTCACAAGCTGCTGACCACAATAACTCATGCCAGGTACAATAAGAACATGTCAGAAGTTCCTCATTCAGTACAACAGAAGACAGCTGTTGATCTTGTTGCAGAACTGCACTAATGAAGGTAAGCAACACTAGTCCAGGGCCCACTGAGCAGTGACAGACCTTGAGCCAAAAAAAATCACTCCCAAAGTCATCTTTCATCTGTTATCTGCCTTCTCCAGGAGAGCGGGAAGCTATCCAGAAGTCTGTGACAAGAAGCTGCTTACTAGAGGAGGAGGAAGAGTCAAGTGAGGAGGCTGCCGAAGCAATGGAGTGAACCTCTGCTCACCATACAGCAGGCTACACTGTGCTCAAGCTTCAAGCCCACTTGTTGAACAGAACATTCTGGGTAGCAACAGCATCTTCTACATTTTCCTAACTGGATAACTGCAACCAGAGGACACGTTACCCACTTGAAATGGAGTACGCAGTTAAACTGAAGTTGGCTTTACCTAGCATTCCCTGGTTAAGTGCTGTAGGTTGTGAACTCTGTATAGACATCTTTGTATCTAATTGCTTGGCTAAGAGTAGGTTTAATAAATGTATCTGGTTTCCTTGGTAACTAGCATACTTATGTTACAAAAAGAGCTTATGGAGTCCATGCTTGGCCAAGTCTCCATTCCCTCTCTATCCCTAGCCTTGGTGGGAAGACTGACTCCCTATGTGGTACTAGTTAAATTTTTTTTTTTTTTTAAACAGTCTTGCTCTATCGCCCAGGATGTAGTGCAGTGGTGCAATCTTGGCTCACTGCAACCTCCGCCTCCTGGGTTCAAGCAGTTCTCCCACCTCAGCCTCCCAAGTAGCTGGGATTACAGACATGTACCACCACACCTGCCTAATTTTTGTATTTTTAGTAGACATGGGGTTTTGCCATATTGGGCAGCTGCTGTTGGAACGCCTGTCCTCAAGTGATCGGCCTGCCTTGGCCTCCCAAAGTGCTGGGATTGACAGTGTGAGCTACTGCACCTGGCCTAGATTTTTAATACTTAGCCTTCTATTTGAGGCTTTGTACCCCCAGCCCCCAAGATGAGCCCTAAGCAAGGCAAGTCATTTGAAATAGAAATTTTAGTTGAGACACAGCAACTAAACTGGCAGAGATCTATAGCCAGTCTCAGCCCAGAACCACAGGCTCTTAGGTACCAGATTCCTTACCAGTACTTAAAATATGCAACTTTTGCAGTTGGGGTGGGAGAGCTGGCCTCACCTGACATCATTATTGCATGGCCATATACTTAAAGAACTTAAGGTAGTTTTTGTAATTCCACTTTTCTTTATTGCCTTACACCGAAGACAAGTGAGACTGCCACACTCACTAGGAAGCAGGAACGGTGAGAGATTGTGATCCAGGTTTGGTCTGCTACCTACGAACATTTCTAGGATCTGTTTTCTCCATAATACAATGGATTACACTGAAAGTACTTATACACATTTAACAGAAATACTGGTGACTGGCTTCAACATGCCTCCCTCTTTTTTTTTGTTTTTTGAGCCAGTCTCACTGTTGCCAGGCTGGAGTGCAGTGGCACAATCTCTGCTTACTGCAACCTCCAACTCCCTGATTCAAGCTGTTCTTCTGCCTCAGCCTCCTGAGTAGCTGGGATTACAGGCACCTGCCACCATGCCCAGCTAATTTTTGTATTTTTTTGTAGAGATCGGGTTTCACCACGTTGGCCAGGATGGTCTCAATCTCCTGACCTCGTGATCCGTCCACCTCAGCCTCCCAAAATGCTGGGATTACAGATGTGAGTTACCACGCCCAGCCACCCGCCTCATCTTGAGGCCAGAACACCCTGATCCACCCAGGAAATTTACTGAAATGATTTCTTTCAAAATAGCAGATTAAAGCTAAGCCCAGCTCTAGAACCATTTAAACCTGACACCAGAAGAGACAGCCCACGATATCCTGGTAGCTATCACATTAACCTATTCAAGAAATAACTCATCTAGTTTACCTGTGATTAACTTAACAAAAAGCTCACATTGCTTGTGCAGGTGATTTATTGCAACCATTTGCCTTCGCAGTCTAATACACCTAGAGGTCACTTTATTAAGCAGCAAGAGAGTTCACATCAAAATTAGCTCAAATCAAGGCATAAGAAAACTGCTCTAGATCAGAGGGAGACAGCAATGCTACGGCTTGAGACGGCCCTGCTCTTTTCCAGCTGTACAGACTCCTGTTCCTAGGACTCAAGCCACTGTCACTGAAAACAAGCTCCATCTTAGGGGTAGCAGGTCTCAGGGCTTCCTTCATGAGTTACAGCTTTCCTTGCCAATGCAAGCCATGCTCAAGAGGCGGCAAAACCCTCCTTTCACACATGCAAGTGCCAAGGACACCTACCCCATTAAGCTGGCACCACAACCTGGCCATGTGTCAGAAGAAAAATAAACTGCAATTCAAACTGGGTGTCCTAAATCCATTTTATTCCCACCCCTCTGCTTTAACAAGGAGAACTAAATAGTAAGGATCCAACTGTTTTTAAAAGACAGAGAGATGCTGAGCCCAGGAAGCCCTGACACGATGCTACGGCAGAGCAGTGCTGTGCCATTCTGGGCTGGACAGCCTAATGCAGGTCAAAGGGACTCAATCTTATTTTGGGTTGAAAAAAATTAATTACACATGGTTCAAAAAGACTACACTCACAACAAACTAAAAACCTTGGCAGGAAGAGATCTCTTGTGAGTGTCAATACTTTATTTTGGTGTAAAGACAGGAAGCTGGAAAATACACTGTATTTAAAATTTCTTGGTTCCCCCTCACATTGTGGAAACCCCCTCCCCTCCAGAGCTAATCTGTTCAAACTCAAATACTTAAAAATTACAGCAGCCAAACAAAAGCATGGGGTAAAAAAAAAAAAAAAAAAAAAGCAACAGATGGAGAAGGTAGCCTGGGCCAGTAGTGTCACTTTGTGTGGACAATTGAGGTGCTGAACAGGAGCTTCTGTTTCTGTTTTTTTCTTTTCTTTCCTCCTTTCTCTTCTAAAGGGAGACACAGAAAGAGAGCTTGCTTAACTAAAAATGCCATCCCTTGTCCCCTGGTCAATTTTCATTACTGAGAGAGTGGAGGCTCTGGAATTAGACTGCCTAGACTCCAATACCAGTCTTGGTATACACTAAGTGGGTGTCTTTGAGCAAGTCACTTTACCACCCTGGACCTCAGTTTCCCCATCTGTAATGTGAGGTAAACCCATTTAATGTTGTTGGGAGGATAAAATTAGCACGGTGCAAGGTACACAGCACTAAGAGAGGTGCTGAGCCTCTCATATGTGATTCTTATCTAAGTCACGAACAGTGCAACAGGCTTTGAGAGTGACTTCTCCTAATTGGCTACCCTGTACCAACTCAAGATGCTAAAGGTTGTACACCCCACTGTATCTTGGAAAAGTTCCTCAGAATTTCACTTTCAGGCCTCATGAATTAATCTGGGGTGGCAAACAGGTCCTATCTGACATACCAAATGGAGTATTATTTAAATGACACTAGATTGTGCCAAAGGGTTCAGAAGGAAAAGTGCCTAATTAGTGATGTCTGCCACTGGATCCAGGCAGGAATGACAGTACGTGTGCAGTGTGTTTGACAACCCTGGGCACTCCAGCCTCTGCCCTTACCAGAGAGGGGATCTGAAGTAGCTGGTGTGTCCAGTTTCAGGAAGGCAGCTTCAATTGCTTGGCTGAAGGAATTTTGAAAACTGGGCACAGGAACACGGTCTGAGTTATCACTCTCCCCGTCACTGTCCGCAGGAGCAGGAGGAACTAAGCTGTTCTCATCTAAAAAAATACCAGTGTTAAAACTCTAAGAAACAACTCCTTTCTAGAAACAGCCTTTTATGGAAATGAACCAAACTCCCCCTTCACAAGTGGGTCATCCTCACCTTTCTTTGGAGCAGTTTTGGGCCACACATCTGCTTTTGCTTTTCCAACCCTCAGCATCTGCCAAAGTGGGAAAGAAGTGGGGGAAAAGAATTTAAGTAGCTGGTCTGTCTTCTTTTCCAGACCTACCTTGACACTGATTGGAGAGGCACAGAGCCAACTGTCACCTTTGAAAAGATTCTCCAGGTACTTCTCTCCTTAACATACTGTTCTAGTCATGTCCTTTATATTCTGACTAATGGAAATGGCAGTGAAGTATTTACTACCACAAGGTAGTAAACCATAAGCTGTTTTGTTCCTTGGGAAATGGGTAAAGACCACCACATAAAAGGCACACAAAATTCTTACTCCGACCCTCAAGTTGGGAATCCTGACTATGTGGTAAGTTTTTCTGCCCTTCTTGGGACCCCTACAAACACCAGTCTGTCAAAGTAAGCAGTGGGTAGCACCCTCCGGTTGGTTTTTTGTTTGTTTAGGTTTTTTTGTGACAGACTTTTGTTCTTGTCGCCCAGGCTGGAGTACAATGGCACAATCTTGGCTCACTGCAACTTCTGCCTCCCAGGTTCAAACAATTCTGTCTCAGCCTCCCAAGTAGCTGGGATCACAGGGCCCACCACCACGACCAGCTAGTTTTTGTATTTTTTAGTAGAGACGGGTTTCACCATGTTGGCCAGGCTGGTCCTATACTCTTGATGTCAGATAATCCACCTGCCTCGGCCTCCCAAAGTGCCAGATTACAAGTGTGAGCCACCGTGCCCGAACTAGTACCCTCCAGTTTTGAACTATATGGCTATTGAACTTAAGTTGCCTACAGCCATGAAAAGTAAAACTCTCTCCTGGCACTGCTTCAATAGCTCTCACTACCTTTTAGTCTGCTTTTCCAATAGCTCCTTAATCATTAACTTTCAGATCCAACCATAGGCCAGTAAAATTCCCAGGAAGACAATAAAACCAGAACAATTCTCATGCCCCTGAGTAATTTTCATCCCACTTGGCCAAGGCCAAGTTGTAACTGTTGAAGGCCACTATGAGCCCCAACTGCAAATATGCCATGTAACTTATTTTGACAGGGAACATTTTACTCCCGGAAAAATATCAAGAGACAAACCCTATGGGGTTCAAGCAGGGATGCCTTGCCCTTAAATCACATATTCCAAAGTGAGGAATCTATTACTCAAGATGAGTTTGTGTTGGCAGATGCTGATTTCATTAAATAACCTTTCTTCATTATGTTCCCCTTTGGTGAACTTCTCCCTTGGTCTCTAGGAGTTTGGGTCTGCTATGGCTTAGACATTTGACCCCTCCAAGCCTCATGTGAAAATCTGATCCCCGGCCAGGCACAGTGGCTCACGCCTATAATCCCAGCACTTTGGGAGGCCAAGGCAGGCAGATCACCTGAGGTTGGGAGTTCGAGACCAGCCTGACCAACATGGCAAAACGCCATCTCTACTAAAAAATATATAAAAATTAGCTGGGCGTGGTGGCACATGTCTATAATCCCAGCTACTTGGGAGGCTGAGGCAGGAAAATTGCTTGAACCTGGGAGGCAGAGGTTGTGGTGAGCTGAGATCGCGCCATTGTACTCCAGTCTGGGCAACAAGAGCAAAACTGTCTCAAAAAAAAAAAAAAAAACAAAACGATCCCCAATTTGGGACGAGGGGGTGGACCCCTCATGAACAAATGGATGCTCCCCCCC